AAATACTACAGAAGAGGTAAAGAATTCGCAATGACGTTTTTCACGACTCTCCAAGCAACTGTATACAGCATAAAAATAAGGCACACCAGAGGTCACTAATAAAAAACTGTCTTCCTAGTCCGAATGGCAAAACAATTTGCAACAAGTTTTCTAACTCAAAAATCGTTTCCTAGATAAAGCGGAGCTCCAAATCAAATCATCTCATGGAAATAGGAGCACAGCCTGAGGCACTGTAGTAATGTTTCCATATTCATTGTATCGTACAGCACACATGTCTGCTGGTCCAACATTCACAATCGTTGCAGGATAATACTGCAAGAGTATAAATAAACTTTAGATGAAAAACAAATCAAAAAAGGTAGAATATAATAGTCTATGGAAATAGAAAATTGTATAAGTGACATACCGATCCATCCGTCCATGGCGCCTTACACTGATCACCAACTTTCCACCGAGGTAAAACATTTGGATTTCTAGCGAATCGCTGCTGAGGTAGTGATGGGGGAGGGTAGGATAAGTTGGGTTGATTCATAGGAGCGGTGCTTATCCGCATGTTGGAAAATGCTACAAGTACAAACATGAAACAAATATGTCTAACGAATCAAAAATTACCTTGCATAGTCCCATCGGGTATGTAATTTGCATTCTGTTGCGGTGCTCGAAAATGACCGCTTTGATTTCCGATGGCACTGCCATTTCCACGCATTGGCTCTGGCCCACTACAAGCATAAGGTTTTAGAATGATATTTCAAGGAAATTTTAAGAAAAGTTGAAGGAAGCAAAACTCACCGCTGGCGATCATTCGCATTGTCACGCCTGCCTTCCCCACGGGGGTTATCAAAATTCTTATTTGGCTGTTGATACTGCTGCCTAGGTGGCCTTTGCCTATCATTCTGGCCTCTCGACTCTTGGTAATTACTGCGATCGTTCTTAAAGGTCGATCGCTGGTTTGAGTGTTCAGGCTTTCGAAATGCGGGGTTTTCATTGGCTCCTCTTTTCTGTCGGTTGTTGTTGGTGGACAACCCAGGAGCTATAAAATACCATTTGGAGCGTGACGACCCTGATTTCAAGAAAAGCAAAAAAATATTCTTTCTATGACCGAATTCACTAGATGAATATGATGACTCCCCACCTCCGCGACCACTTCTCCGTTCATTATTGAAACGACCAGGTGCCTGCCGCGTGTCCTCGTGATTATTACGATTAGATGAATGGTTCTAAAATCAAACCAATTTAGTTGTATACAAAAAAAAGAGTAGGCTCCTCACTGACCGGCTGTGATGGTTCGTTCACACGCACTCGCTGATTTTCCACTATCTCAGGCGTATTCGTGGCAACGAAGT